GGGAAAGAGAACCTAACTACTACTTTTAGGAAAGTAGATTGGGGCCAGCAAGTTGTGTAAGGCCCTGGACTCCTTTATGGTTTATTGTGGTTCAGGTCCTAGACCCAGTGACATGAAACTCACATGTGCACGTGTGCCCAAAATCCTGAGAGGAGAATGGAGGAGAAAGGATTGCAGTGTGGCCATCTTCCTTGGGAAGGATTTGTTGCTTTCTGTTTCTGCCTCTGTCTTTTTGGCTAGTGCACATGTCCTATAACATTGAGAGAGATCTCTCAAAAAAAAAAAAAAAAAGAGTAGATTTAGGCAATTTTTTCAGCTCCAGCTCTGTCTCCCTTAATTTTTAGACACTTAATATACTGTAGTTCATTCAGGAAATATTTATTGATATTGAGTGCCAACTTCATAATAGGCACTGTGTAATACTATAAACAAGGTCTTCAAAAACTTTGTGGAAAATGCATATCATGAAAAAACTCTGCATGGATTTAAGACTTTTTTTGTACCAAAATAAACTTGTAATGATGGAAAAAGTATGCTCGGGAATCTGCTAAGGGATAGAGCAAGTCAAGACTGTCATAGGGAAGCACAGGTGTTTGGGATGGGTCCATAGGTGGGCTGCTTGATTCAATCTTGGAAGTTTAGGAAAGAAGCAGGTTGGCTTGACCTGCACGATGAATAGAGAGGTTAGCTGTGTGTGCAAAGAAGGAAAAGTGCTGTGATAAAGGGAAGAAATGCTCTTGGAGGAGACAAGAGTAAGGAGCTTATTACTCCTGGAGCTTAGGCAGTAAGGGAGACAGTAGTGAGAGGTGAGCTGGAGCGCTAAGCAGGGAGTCGGACACGAAACAGCATTTTTGGCAAACCGTGCTGGTGGAGGCCATTTCAGTTTGGTAAGCATTTTTTATTGTTGAAAAGACTTTTATTATAGAAAATTACTAGCATAGATAAAAGAGGAAGAAAATAATAGAATAAATTTCTGTCATCTAGCTTGTATAGGTATCAGCATATGGCTAGTCTTTTATTAATTAATATTCCCATCAACTCCTTCCTCCTCTATTGGATTATTTATTTCTTTATTTTAAAAATTATTTTATTTATTTATTTTTAATTTGACCAGATGGTTAAAGACTGAGAGAGAGCAAGAGATTGGGAAAGTGAGAAAGCAAGCCACCAGGTCCAGGGCTTGAACCATGGTCGGCCATGTGGGAGTGCAGTACCCTTAGCCACCACACCATCTGCCGACCCTTTTTTTTTTTTTTTTTAATTTGAGAAAGGGCATGTGCACTTACTCGGAAGAGAGGAAGAGATGAAAGAGAGAAAATGAGAAAGCATCCCCCATGGGGGATGAGCACACTGCAATCTCTTCTTCATCTCTCCCTCCTTTTGGCATTTTGGATACATACACATGTGCTGGGTGTTTCTCAAGCTGCAGGGTCCAGGACTTGAGCCACGTGCAGTCCCACCTCCCTAACCACCAGGACATGGGCTGGGTCCTCTATTGGATTATTTTAAGCAGCTCCTATGCATCGTATTATTTCATTTCTGAATATTTCAGTATATATCACAAAAAGTTAAGACTCCTCTTTTTTAAAAAAAAATATTATTAAGGTCCCGCTAAGTGGTGTGGTGGCAAGATGGCTGGATCCTACATGGATGACTGTGGTTCGAGTCCCAGACCCATTAGCTTGAAAAACACGCTGGATGTGTGTGCAACTGTAGTTGGCATGTGAGAGTCTAGCAACTTAACCACCATCCCACCTGCTGACCCCATTATTTTTATTTTTAATTTGGTATAGGGTGTGTGTGCTCACCAGAGAGAGAGAGGGAGAGAGAAAGTAAGAAAGCAAGCTGCCAGGTCTAGGACTCAAACCATGGTTGGCTATGAAGGAGTCCAGTGTCTCAACTTCCATGCCATCTTCTGGCCCCCAAATTCTTTTTTTTTTTTTAATTGCCGGAGGTATATGCTCTTCCTAGAGAAGGAGAGAGAGAGAAGAAAGCACCCTCCAATGGAGTATGGTCCTACCATAATCCCCTCCTCCATTTCTCTCTTCTGTCAGGATTTGGTACACATACGCACTTGCACCCAGTGCGTTTTTTAAGCTACCAGGGCCTGGATTCTAACTATTATCGGCCATGTGGTATCTGGCTCTGGTTCACCAGTGGACCATGGGGCCAACCCTGCATATGAAGTCCTTGAGTTTCTTTTTTTTTTTTGAGAGATTTTTTACTATAGGGCACGTGCACTCGCCAGATAGAGAGAGACAGAGACAGAAAGTGAGAAATCACCCCCCAGGGGGCATGGTCACACCACAATCCCTTCTCCTCCATTCTCC